CCCCCCCCCGACCAGGGGCAACACCTTCCTGCCCCCAGTGTTCTTGCCCTCCCCCCCTTTCTCATTGGGCCCCCTCCATTCTTCTAGATGCTGCTCACAGGGAATTTCCCCCAACCCCACCCACTCCACACCACCCCCCACCCCCATGGACTGGGTATGGAGCACCCTCCTCAAACCATTGGAACTCCTCCCCCCATCTGTCCAACCCCCTCCCTCAGTGGGGGGCTGACCCAGAGCCCGAGACCATCGCCACTCAGAGCAAGCACCCCCCACCCCCTCCCCACCAGTCCCGGGCTGCAGTCCCACCCCTGGCCAGAGAGCGGCGCCGTCTGTCTTAGGGTGGGGTTGGGTCACGGGGCAGCCCCTGCTGGTCCTCCTGGGTGTTCATCGCAACCACATCCCCACCACCCCCTTTACCCCCCCCCACCAACACCAACCACCACAAACCAACAGCAACCAGGCGTCCTGGCATTGCTGCTGCGGGATCTTGCTGCGCACACACACACACACACACACACACACACACACACACACACTTCCTCCTGTCACAATCACATTCCCAAACCAAATGTGTGAACCGCAAACCCCTTCGGGCCTCTCCGGGGATGTGCTGGGCGCTACGTGAATTCAAGGTGAGCCTGTGCGTTCGCGAGATCCCCCCCCCACCCAGCTCCGGTGCCACGCTGGTGGAAGTGGACAGGGTGCCAGGCTTTGAGCCAGAGTGATGATGGTGCCCAGGTACGTGGTGGTGGACGTTCCTGGGGTTGGCAGGGCGGAGAGAGGGGGGGGATCCCTGAGCCAGGGCTGACAGGACAGAGACTTCAGCAGGCCCCATGTGGGAATAACCTCTCCCTCTCTGCTTGTGTTCCCTGGCAGAGTCACACACATTCGCCTTTCGGGAAGCTGGCTTCACCGATATCCGCCGTTACCAGTACTGGGACAGCGAGAGGGTGTGCCTCGCCATTCCACAGTGGCTGCAGGACATGGAGGTATCAGACACTGGGTAGTGACAGGAACCCCAGCAGGCTAACGGGGAGAGGGGTACAGACAGGCAACCATGTACCACCCACCCACCCCCCAACACACAGACACAGACACACACACAAAGTGACAGGCAGTGAGAACAGGGAACAGAGAGTCACACAGCATCGATACAGGCCCTTCGGCCCAACCAGTCCGTGCTGAACATCATCCCAAAGTAAACTAGTCCCACCTGCCTGCTCCTGGCCCATATCCCTCCAAACCTTGCCTGTTCATGTACTTATCCAAATGTCTATTAAACATTGTAACTATACCCACATCCACCACTTCCTCAGGAAGTTCATTCCACACGCAAACCATCCTCAGTGTGCAAAATTAACCTCATGTCTTATTTTAAAATCTCTCTCCTCTCACTGTAAAAATATATCACCTGTTCTTGAGACCCCCACCCAGGGGAAAAGGCACCTATCATTAATCTTCTCTATACACCTCATGATTTTGTAAGCTTGTAACCTCCTATGCTCCAGTGAAAAAAGTCCCAGCCCTTCCCTAACTCAAACCCTCCATTCCTGGCAGCATTCTGGTAAAGAGATAGCAAGAACTGCCGATGCTGGAGTCAGAGATAACACAGTGTAGAGCTGGATGAACACAGCAGGCCAGCAGCATCAGGGGAGCAGGAAGGCTGACGTTTCACGTTGGGATCCTTCTTCAGAAAAATCTCTTGCCAACCCTCTCCAGTTTAATAACATGCTTCCTGTAACTGGGCGACCAGAACTGGACACAGTATTCCAGGAGAGGCCTCACCAACGTCCTGTACAACCTCAATGTGACTTCCCAAACATGGGCTGTAGCCAATTCAGCGACTAGTGACCCTCCCTCCCTTCCCCCACCCCAGCCCAAGTTAGATTCCTGACTGAAAGCCACAACCAAAGGTGTTAGCACAGTCCCAGCTCCACCCCCCATCCCCAAATCCCCGTGCCTGGGGCAGTGAGCCGTACCGAACTGGGCTCTGCTCCATCCAAGTACATACTGGTCTCCATCCTGTCCACCTCACCAGGGATGGTGCAGCACAGATGGAGGGACGAGGTTTGGGTGGGAGTGGGGATGGGGGGTCGGGGGCGGGGAATGGATTTGGGTGGATCTCAGGAACGAAAATGGATCTGAGAGGGAGGGGGTTGTGGAAAAAGGGAGTGCAGAGAGTGAGAGAGGGAGCAAACTGCGACTAAGAGAAATGGGTGAGAAGGTTATTTTGTTTAAAAACAGAAACCTCTCACAACAGTTGGCCAGCTGGACGCACCATTTAGTTTTCCCTTTGTGGGTGGTGAAGCTGGACACTGCTGACCCTTACGCCGTTAAATACCAGCCCTAACTGCTGACTCAGGCCGTCAGACCTGAAAGGCAGTGCACACTTCCACAACATCCAAAATGGTGCCTCATCCAATACCTTCCATCCACTCACTGCTCATCCTGGCCCTCTTCTTCACCCCCACCATCGCAGTTTGACCCCGCAAACCCACTCCCCCACCCACTCATTCCCACCCCAGCTCAGAAATTCAACTTGGGCCGGCCAGCAGCTCGGAAGGACGGCTATGGGCAATGGCCAAGGACAAAGAGGGAGGGAGGTTCCAGGTTTTAGGTGAGAGATGCTGGGAGGAAGGAGATAGGCAGGAGAAACCCCTTGCCTCCTCCGAAGGGGGCAGCAAATGAGTTGGGCAGCCCCTCGAGAGACACCAGCTCGCGGGGCTCCAGGGAGGCACTGGAGGGGAGGGTGAGAGTGCCAATGGCTCAATGGATGGCGTGGAAATGCGGGGGGATAATGGTGGGGCTGGAATGGTGCCCTTGGTGTAAGAGAGCTTGGCTCACCGTTTTTGGACAAGCTCGGAGAATGTTTCAGAGGGGTTCAGAGCATGGCTTTGCGGTAAGCGTCCTGGGTTGGGGGGTGATGAGCGTTGGCCAAGCCCACGCCGCACACGCGTCACCTGTGTCTCTGCGCTCTTTTCCCCAGAACGCTCCGGAACATTCCATCATCGTGCTACACGTCGCAGCTCACTGGCCGACAGCCACGGATCCGACCCCTGCCGAGTGGAAGGAAATCGCCGAGGTCATGAAGGTCAGGGGTCAGGGCAAGACCTCTTCAAAATGCCCCACCACCACCACCCCACTCAGGGCGGCAGTGCCCCCGACCGAGAGGAGATGTCAGGAAGAGGGAGGGCATGGCAAATGGAGTGTTATCACCTGAGGATTCATCCAGAGACCCAGGTCACGTTCTGGGGGCCCGGGTTCAAATCCCACCATGGCAGACGGTGGAATTGGAACTCAATAAAAAATGTCTCATGGTAACCGTGAAACCACTGTCGATTGATGGAGAAACCCGTTCTGGGTCACTAAGGAGATCGTAAGAACATTTAAGCAACTCTTGGATAGGCACATGGGTGATAGTAAAATGAAGAGTATGCAGGTTCGTTGGATCTTAGAATAGGATAATAGGTCGGCACAACATCGTGGGCCAAATGGCCTGTACTGTGCTGGACTGTTACATGTTCTATGTTCCAACTGCAGATGCAGAGATAACAAAGTGTGGAGCTGGAGGGACACAGTAGGCCAGGCCGCATCAGCAAAGTTCAGAAAAGGGTCCTGACCCAAAACGTCAGCTTTCCTGCTCCTCTATTGCTGCCTGCCCTGCTGTATTCATCCAGCTCCGCACTGTGTTGTCTCTGGGCCACTCATGTCGTTCAGGGAAGGAAATCTGCCATCCTTACCTGGTCTGGGCTCTGTGTGACTCCAGACCCACAGCAATGGCCCCTTGGGTAATTGAAGATGGGCAGTCAATGTTGACACTGCCAGTGGCAAATAAAAAAGGAGACAGGTGAACAGGAGCGACCGGATTGATGTTGCAGAGGGTCAAGGGGAGCTTTGAGCTGCCCGGTTTCTCTGGGGCAAGGGGTGGGGGCGCGGGAGGTGGCACGAGAGCGGGCGGAGACGGTGTGACAGAGAAACCCTTTCCGAGGGGATCCATGCAAACACGACAACTTTTCCCCCTCTTGGCCTCGGGAGCCCTGCTTTCCCTGTCCCTGCAAAGGTGGATCCTTCCTGCAGAATCCCATGCCCCTGTTTGCGGGCGACAGATTAGTCCAGGAGTGCTGACCATCATTGACTGAACGTCTCGTTTCTTTTTTTTTCCCCCAGCGGAAGAAACTGTTCCCTTTCTTCTTTGTGACAGCTCAGGGCCTGGCGAGTGGAGACCTGAACAAAGATGCCTTTCCCATCAGGCACTTTGTCACTGAGCGCTTTGAACTCTTCTGTGCCCAGTCCTTCTCCAAGAACTTCGGCCTATACAGTGAGTTGACTTGGAGTGGACTCAGAGGAGCCAGTCACAGGGAGGGGAGATCCTTGCGAATCTCACAGGGTGGGAGATTGCTCCGTCGAGAATCCCACACGAGCTGCACAGGGTCAGTGCTCAGAGGACGCTCCCTCTGACTGAGGGGACACCGGCTCCCACTGAGGCTTGGCCAATCTCTCTCGCCCAGAGGGGCCTGGTCATTTAACACATGTTCAAGGCCCAGTTGACTTGCGGAGCCAGGGTAGGGGGGCAGAGCGTGCGAGGTGATGGGGGAAAATGGACAACAAATTAGATTTGAGGCCACAACCACATTGAACAAGCTGAAGGGGCTGAATGGCCTCTTGCTGTCTCTCATGTTCCCCCACAATGGTTCTAGTCTTAGACAGTGACAGAGAGCACCGTTCTAACGTTGTACGCTGTCCTGACATGGGAGGGGTTTACGGAGCTCATGTGTGAGGGCCGAAAGGGAGAGATAGCATGGGCCCAAGGGGCAGCAGATACGTGGGAACACCATCGCCTCCAAGTCACAACATATCGCCGTTCCTCCACTGTCACTGGGTCAAAATCCTGGAATTCCCTCCCTAAGGGGCATTGTGGGTCAACCCACAGCAGGAGGACTGCAGCGGTTCAAGAAGGCAGCTCACCCCCACCTTCTCAAGGGGCAACTAGGGACGGGGCAAGAAATGCTGGTCCCAGGCAGCAAGGTCCACATCCCATGAGTGAATCAAATAAATTTCCTGCCACTGGCAGAGTTGGATAGACCAGTGTGGATCATATTGAAGACTTGGTCTTCTGTTTTGTCCATCTTCAGGGCGAGGGTAGGCCACCAGTCAGCAATAGCTCCCATTCCCACTGCCCTGTGCTGTCCCCCACCCTGCTGCCTCTCCTACCCAGAGTGCCCTGCACCCTACCCGCCTGTCCATTCCCAACACCTCAGGCCTTTGCTCAGCATCATTCCCAAAGCCCTTGGGGGCTTGCAGGCCGGGGGATTTACTTCGGGCTGTTTGGTGACTAAGCCAAGCCTTTGTAAAGTCGCTGCACAGTTGATTTCAGCAGAAACACATCAGAAGGGGTCACTATAAATCTGATTAAATACAGGCTCAGCATGGAAGTGAGGGAGGTTCATGGAGCAGATTCCAGAGTTTACAACAGCTCACTCAACTTCTCCCATCAGACCAATGGGAAAACAGAGAAATTCGGAACAGGGCATTCAGCCCTTCGAACTTGCTCCACCATTCAGTCTGATCATCCCATTCGGTTTTGTCCTGTTCCCACTTTCTCCCAATCCCCTTTGCTCCCTTCAGATGGAAAAACTGGATCTCACCCCTTCCTGAAATAACCGAAGGCACGCCCGCCAACAGTGGAGCGATGGGAATCAGGGAAGCTTGAGAGAGAGAGAGAGGGGAATTGGAGCAGGACGGAGATTCCCAAGGGAGCTGTCAGAGATAGGCACATGGAGGGACATGGGAAGGGTTTGAAACCCAGCCTGAAGGTTGGTCAATTAGGAGCCAAGGTGTTGGTCAACCAGCTTGTGGGGGCTGGGGGTGGAGGGTCACAACGATTGGGAAGGGCGTGCAGGGTCGAGGTATATGATGAGGAGATCATTAGGAAGAGGAAGGATGATGGGGGAGGCGGTTCCCAGGTCA